TATCGCATGATTTCGTTAGCTTTCAAGTTTTTTTTTTTAACTTTTTTTTTGGAGATGCGCAAACGAAAATTCCAAAATTCGTGTACAAACAATGTGTAATCAAATGACGTAAAAAAATTGAATTTTTCCATACGCGGGGAATTAACTTCTCACATGGGTGCCATCTTGTCCTGTCAAAAAGAGAGAGAGAGAGAGAGAGAGAGAGACAGAAAATGAAAGAAATAGAAATTATGAGACGAGTCGGACGAGATATTAGGCATGCGATAAAAACGAGCGGACACGCCTGGAGCGCGGAAAAAAGCAGAGGTACCGAAATTTCGTGCAGGGCGTACTGCACACCAGGGAAATTGCCGAGTATAATGGACAAATGATAATTTAGAGTAGCGCGACGTACGATAAATGAGAACGGCGACGGACGGCATAAAAATTCTTCTCATTTCCAAAATTCGGGACGTGGAAAATTAATCGTCGCCATCCCAAGCGTCACCGAACACGTCCTACGAGCCCGTCTTCGAGATATAATAGGGTTACATCGAGAGCAAATAATATTATTGATTCAAATATAATATTGAGAATATCCTCAATGATATAAAAATTGTATGATTGATTTCGAAAATTTTCTCAAGCTTAAATCTTTTGTCTTTGAATGTGTCTTTGTAGCGAAAATTTCGTCTTGTATTGTCTTGTTTCGATTTTATACGAGTAATTTTTTTAAAAATATTTAAGATAATTTTTATACAATTTAAAATAATCATGGTATGTTATCAATCCTTTTCTGTTATTTTAATATAATTTACAATAATTATTATTATTTATGTAATTTCTTTACTTTCTAAAATACAATATATACATATTTATTTATTTATTTATTGTCTTTTCAAAAACACAGTTGCATAATGTGCTGTACAAAAAACTTTATATTACTTTAGTTAAAGAATTATATAAAATTTTATATTCTTTATTTTATTTACTGCATTAATTGCTTCTAAATTTATTCATAAAAGTATTTTTATTCCTCAAGTACGATATAAGCTTGTATAATGCAGTGATTTTTCTTATGTAATTTACATATTTTAGCTTTCTTTAAGAAATCAATAATATTATTCTTGATATTCCCGGCAACTAATTAAAAATTTCGTGTCGACGCCCTCTCGAGATTCAATTATAAAAGTGTCGATATCTCACGCGGCTCTAAATAAGCGAAACGCAAATGTTCCTTTCACACCGCGAATAATTCGCCAAAGTAAGCGCTTTGTAAAAGAGACGTTAACGCTCTTGATTTTTCGTCCTGCGGGATTAATTCGATTCACCGGCGCGGAAGCGCGTTATACGTTGATGCTGTACGAGCTGCTGCTGAGAGTCCGTATGGTGGAGGTCCATTTGCGGGCCGCTGGTAATTTCCTCGGGGAAGAATCCCGACTGTATAACGAACGCGAGAGAGAGAGAGAGAGCGTGCCGAACATTTGCTCGCGCGATTACACCGTATTTCGGAGAGCCAGCCATGCCGATTCACGCGTATAATCGGCGCGATTAATAAAGACCGCCCGGTCTTATAACTGTAAAGTAGCGCGAGTCGTCGGGCCAAGAGAGAACAGGTCGTCGTGAACCAGGACACGGCGAGAGAGCGAGAGAGAGATAGCGATACCGTTCATCGGATGTTCCCGTCCGATGACCGCGACGCGATCATGCATATCACATGGGCAAATTTCCTTCGGCTGTCAAACGAAACAACGTAAGCGCGTTTACGGATAAACACGTACGTGAATTCGGATCTGGGGGATCTCGAAAAAGCCCGCCGTATAAGGGATTTTTTTTCACAAATAATCCTGCGATCCGTTAATAAACGTAATATTCGCGGATATCAGATTCCATTTCGCCATTGTTATCGTTATTTCGCGTACGTGAGGTCCATACTTTTTCGCCCATTATACGCTCGCGATTATCATTAGCATAGATATTGGCACCGTGCACTGTCAGTAGAATGTGTACGTCGTAAAGTTTGCGAATCGTCGCCGACGATTTTCGAAATGTAAAACCGAAACTATTTTCTAAAGTATAGCGACGAATGTGAACGACGCGCTAAAGTCTGTGCTGCCAATCGACAAGTATTTTCCGGCTCGATAAATACATTCGTGTGATGACAGAAAATTTATATAATTTCATATTTGAATAAAAATTTCATCCCTGTTTCGTTAGAAAATTTACAAATTTTATTGCGTTGTTAATTTCTATGTCGAACGTTTGATGAATGATGCTTGCAATATTTCGAGAAGTATACATGTGCATTTTGAAGATAATTTGTTTTATTGTTTTTATTGTTTTATTGTCTTTATTAAAACGCACGTCAATATTTTACAAAATTAATCAAGTTTACCAACAATCTCGCAAACTCGAAATTCTGATTTTTATGAAACTTTAAAGTTTACATATAGGAAAAGGGGATAAATAGATGAATTTATAAATTTTTATAAATTTTTATTTGTCAAAAATGATTTTAAAGGATGAAATCATTGTTCATGTAGAACGTCTTTTTGCCTTTCTCGATATATTTCGAAAATCATTGGAGATATCAAAAAATGTTTTATACGAAAAACGTTTTATAAAAATGCTTTTTATTAATGTGATTAAATAGAAATATTTTCATGAAACTTTTATAAAATATTTTTTAATATTCTCCAATAATTTTGGAGATATCGAAAAAAAATAAAAACTCGTTCTACATGTGAGTTTGAATTGGTTTCACCTTTTAAAATCATTTTTGGGCCACAATGAAAATTTCTAAATTCATTTATTTACCCTCCCTCCTCCCATATGTCCGTAAAGTTTCATTAAAATTAAAATTTCCCACTTCGCGAGATTTCTTTTGTAAGAGGAAACATCTCATTATCTTTAATAATAATTTGTAAAATATTTCAAACCGTTTTTTTTTTCATCTCAAATACAAACAAGCAGATAGAAATGTAAAAGCTTCTTGTTAGTCAATTCGCAGACAAACTTTTGAGCGACATGACGATCGATCCAACTCTAATATGATTGAACTACTATAGAAGCACATCGGCAAAGCGATCGAATTTCTATGTCTCCTGCGAAAAGAGTAATGCGATTCTATCCTACGTTAGTATATTTTTTCAGTTAGTCATAAAAAAAAACTATCTTTCGAGATCTCGCATCTTTACTGTCATCGTCTTGTACTTTGTAACTTTGTCTCTCGTTTGCGTTTTCCTTCACAACTCATATTCCTGCACATATTGCACTCTAAAATTCATATTATTGCCATAAAATACAAATCGATATATCTCGTCTTCGGCAAAAGCTTGCATTCCGATAAACAAATAGCATCATGCAACACGTTTTGTAATTTTATATAACGTGCATTAAATATCTGTAATATTATTAATTTTCACACAATCGTCAATGAATCTAGAAATTACGAGCTTCAATTTAAAAAATTTTTAATTAAAAAATATATTAAATATTATGTATATAAAATTAATTTTCTTTGAAAATTGACAATTATATTTTGTATATCGATTTTTAGCTCGATTTATTAAATTACGGTTGCATCTTTTAATGTTCCTCATTTTTTATATATATTTATTATATAAAAACATGTGATCTCTTTCTAGAAAGAGTTATCTTAGAACTTGATTCTTGAAACGATAAAGATAAAAAAACATTGCAAATTTCTTCCACAGAAAAATAAAAATTATATAATTGCTCTATATTTTTTAGTTAATATTATTATTAAATTTTCTAAAAGTGCCATAAAACTAACTCTTTGGCCGAGCTTGACGAGTTCATTACATGTTTCCGTAAGTTGTAGGTACGTGTCGCGTAAAATACAGTCATTATTACAATGTACGACTACTTGCGGTGTAAATGTAAACACACGGTTACACGTGTAACTATAATATATTATACCACTACACGTGATATAAATTGCACAGCTAAATGATTACAATACAACTTCTTCGTAATATATTTCATTCGCATTTTATCGACAATTTGTCCCAAAAGATTCGTTCGGAGAAACATTTATTTTCTTTTCATTTTGCAAATCAAACGAGCGATTATTGCGAAGTAATGAAAAAAAAAAGTAGCTCGGTTTTCTTTTTCCCCTAATGACATGTATTATATGAAAAATGTACGACATGATTTATCACTTGGTCGTAAAACACGGAGAAAGTCCCGTTATCTACGCGTCGCATTAAACATATGTGACCGTGTTATCTAATATGCACATCAGAAAACACCGTCGTCCCATGGATGTCTGCGTGCGTCGAGGTATACGCGAACCCAGGCGTCCGATTCCTTATAATCGCGGGGGGATTATCGTCAACTTACCCGGCGATACGCGACATTTAGTGCGGCAGGAGAGCGGGAACGCGGCTGGAAACGATGTTGCGGAAAATGATGTACGCTCGTCTCGTCATCCCCGCGCGTTACACGCCAGGGGATCCCCATAGCTACGGGGCAATCGAATTTTCATCGCCGCGAAGGCGAGCTCTGAATATTCATACGGTCGGACGAAACCGTGTACCCGGTGTACCTTCGCACACGTTCTCTCCCCCTCTCCCACGCACCCCCCGAGAGCTCTGTGTGCGTCCCTGCATAGATCATAGACGGGACTCGGCTCGGGTTGCCCGCTCCTTCCCGCGCCAGCTGAATTTAAACCGAGGGTGCACGATCGCTCGAGGCTGCATCGGAGCAAATCGAATATTCCCCAAGGAGAAAAAAAGTTGCAGCGTATCGATGACATATTGTCTGTAGCCAAGTAACGGTTTCGTGCAGGAAAAATTATCGAATGAAATAAACCGAAGCAAATGGCAAATTAATTATTTTCCCTTCCTGCCTCCCTTTTATTATCGTATTGAATTATCTCGTTGTATTTGTTCTCAAGTAATTACAATTTTGTGAAATTTTTCTTCAAGTTTAATTACACTTGGCATCAATTTAATTACGTTTTATTAAATATATAAAATGAAAAAAGTAATACTCACAAAATTAATTGAAGACAACAAATCCCTGGATTCCTAAAAAAAATAAAAAAATTTATTTAAATACGATATTGTTGAAAATTGGCAATATTAAAAAAATAGAATTGAAAAAATAGAATTTTTCAAGAAATAGAAATTTACTAACTTGTAAAAGTATTTTTTTCATCGAATATTTGAAGAAGCGAGAGAAAAAGTTTATGTTATGGTTATAAATAAGTTTATTAAACACACGAAACAAACAAGTCTATCTTCGTCTCAGTCCATTCTACTATAACTAACGTGTCAAATATCGTATAATCAGTCGTTGAAGTCTGTTAAATGTGCGCGAATATACTCTTGAATATTCTCTGTAGCGATAATAATTCTCTGATAATTTTCTATTAAAGAATTTATTTATATAAACTTTTATATATATAATTTAATAATAAATAAAAAGAGAAAGAAATTTAATTATTATTAGAATTGTAATATTGTTTCAGATTTATCACGCATTAATATTAAAATGTCATAAATCTCAGTTGTTTGTAATATTATATGTATATAATACATTCCTAAATATTTATTTTTACATAAAAAAATCTGAAACAATTAATCAATATTTGATTCAAGGTATATCATTATTTATACGTCCGACTTAAATATAAGAGACCTCAACATCGTACGCCTGACCTCAGAGTTTCATCGAAGGTAAAAGTGAAGTGAGATAGGAAGATACGTATATGTGAATGTGTGTGTGAGAGAAAGAGGGAGGGGGATTACAAATATATGCGCATATTCACAAGTATTATGAGTGAATATACGCATGCAAACATGAGCCATTTTTCAATGCACATTTTACATATGCAATCGTACTTGCAGCAAGATACGCATGTAACTGTTAAAGCGAGAGGATGATAAAAAAGAATTAAGGCCAAAGCAGAGAGAGGAAGGAAAAGAATAGAGAAGAGAGAGAGAGAGAGAGAGAGAGAGAGAGAGAGAGAGAGAGAATAAACGCAAACAGAGGCCATCGCTATTCGACACGCTGGATAGAGGGCTCACTTTAGGGAGGGTCGAACGAGTGTGCACAAAATTGAGGGTAACATTGCCAGCTGGCATTCTGTGTACACAGTACATATAGACATATATATATACACATATACACACAGATGCTTCATAAAAAGGGGAACGTCGATAGTGGAACGAATGATTGCAACGAATTCGATGATTATTTTCGCTTAATAGTTCTTAGTAGTAAATTTCTCGGTGATGCATTCATTTAAATCTCGTTATTTATTTAAATTTCGTATAACTAAGTTTTAAATTAAATTAATTTGCTAAAATGTCCGTGTAAAATTAATTGAAAAAGAGAGATTTAGTTACTATTAAAAAAATTTAATCTAGAATCTTTTAATATTCAATATTATTCGTATTATTCACGATCGATTTAATATTCAATATTATTCATAATCGAAATTTTTGCCGCGAAATAATTTCGAGAATAATCGCGAGAAATTGTTCAAAAATATATTTCTCGATACTAATCCTCTTATTTCTCGCGAAAGAGTGCGGATAATCGTTACCCAAAATTTTCCCAATTCGAGATTACGGACTTCATTTTTGGCTTAAAATAAATTTTAACTTTATAAAAATTGCAATTTTTACCTTTATAAAAAATACTTATTTTACCGGTTTTCCCTGGAACGATAAATCTCCCATCCGGAAACTTGCATATCCGTAATCTACGCGTCATAAACTTTAATTTACGTCAAAAATGAAGTCCTCAAGATGAAAATTTTGGACAACAAACCTGTGCACATTCATCCATATTCTTTCTCATATATGACAGATTTCAAATTTTTATTCAAAACTCTCTTCTATGATTTTTTTATATTTATAATAAATTATTTCTCTTCTCTCTATTGAAAAAATACTTTTTCTATTGAAAAAAATACTTTCAAACAATATTCTATTCTCAATATTATATTCTCACTGTATTATTATGCTATTAATGACTCATTCATTATATTATTAATAGTGATTCATTCACTATGTATACGTTTAAAAATTAAAGAATAAACAGCAAGATCCTAAAACATTCTGCACGTGTTTTATTACATCACAAATAAAAATGAAAATATTAAAGGCTAGCTGAAAGAACACAAGGGCATGTATGAATAAATATAAGAAAAGAAAATACTACAGAAAAGTTTAAATTATTCTTCAAAAAACTGCATCCACTTTACATCCACATCTCCTGTTTCAATAAAAAAATTTTAAATATCTCTTCTTTAAAAAAAATCTATCGACGATTATGCAATTATGTCAGAATATTTGATTATCAAACTTGACTATAAACTTTAGTTAAATATACATCTTGAATTATACATATGCATATAAGAGAAGAATCGAAGAGAGAAAAACTGTACGGAACTTAAACGGGATGCATGGGAGATAAACAGTTAACGGCATCGTAATGTATGGTAGACTTTCATCATTTTGTTTGTAAATTTATGTATTCCACACCTGGTGGAGTTTATATCATACTGCAACTAATCGTAACGACTTATTCGTGATGCACTCTGCACAAGTTTAAGAGCTTACAATGTCGGAATTTATGCCGGCTAATATGAAAATTTAAAGTCATTTTAAAAGTCGGTCGTTCGAATCGATTTATCTGGCAATAATTCTGAATAAAGTGCACCAAAAGATGTGACACGTATGCATAGTAAATCAATTTCTATCAGCATAGGGATTTTAAAAGCGAAGCTTGTGCTACGCTATACATGCATAAGGTCGATTCTGATTAAACCGAAATATAACAAGTACATCTAGTGACAAGAATATTATATATTTTAATATTATATATTTATCGAATTTCTATCTCTAATTTTTTTTAAAAATTTTCAATTTACAAAACTGTTATTTTTGGAAAACAAAATCTTATAAAATTAAATCAAGTCTTCAAGCGAGATCGAATCATCACTTCATCCCGTTTTATCTCGCTCGAAATTTTGAGTGATACATTTATGTTATTTCCAATATCCTCGTATCATCGGATTTATTATTTATTAACAAAATATAACAAGTAAAAATCTATGACAAGAATATTATATCTTAACCTTTGCATTGTATTGTACATTTTTATCCGACACGTTTTTCAAGAGGGAATATGTTGAAAAAATCTGAAAAAAGTCATACGTCTTTTTGGATCCTTCTAAATAAAAGCTGGAAAAATAAATTTCCCAAATAATTCGCTTTAATATATTTTTATTATTTGCAAATATGTGAACTGAAATGCTTAAAGCATCTCTATGAAAACAATGGGATCAAAAATGACGCTCATATATACGGAGTATATTATTATTATTTACATTTATATACTTATACGTTATATACTTATACGTTATATTATATTTATATTCATATTTATATTATATTATATTTATATTATTTTATTATTATATTTATTTAATATTTTAATTTTATATGTTATTTTACTGTATTTATTATTATTCATATTATATTTATATTATTTATTGAATTTTCATCTCTAATTTTTCTTGTAATTTTTATTATTATTTATCGAATTTTCATCTCTATTTTATTTTTCAAACATGATTTTTCCAAAATTTCCAATTAACGCAATCTTTTCGGAAAATAAAGCCTCGCGTACAAAATCAGATCAAGCCTTCGAGCGAGATTGAATCGTCACCTTATCTCGTTTTATCTCACCTAGAATTTTAAGCGGTACATCTGCGTTATCTCCAATATCCCTCAATATCATCGGATTTATTATCAATAATCTAACTTAATCCGCAACCTGGCTTTTATCGGACGCGCAAGCACGTCGGATCGTTTACACGATCGCAGGTACACACTTATAGTCCCGTCAGAGCGCGAAGAGCATATCTCTCCAAGCAGCGACCCGCGGTTAAAAGACCGGAAACGACCGTATAGCGACCGCAAGTACGTCTAACGGTCCTCCCCCTCTTCGTTCTCATCTTCTTTTATCCACGAGTTCACGCTTGCAATTCTCCCTCTCTCTCTCCTCCTATCTCTCCATCTCTCTTTTGCTCTCTCCTGAACGCGCGAACAGTCGCTTAATCTCCACGCTTCGTCTAATCCGCCTGTCGTTCCGCGATATTTTTTGTCTCACAGCAATCATAGCCGCGGTGCAAAATCGTGGCAAAACTGCCTCGATATATATGTGTTGTGTGTCGCTCTATTAAAGTCGAATTTTTAACTGACTGTCAGCGTGAAGAAAACGATTGCGTCTAAAAATGATCTTTCACAATCAAAACCAGTGACGTGAAATGTATAGTATGATTTATAGAGGAGTTTAATCAAATGGAAAGGAAGAATGCATTTAAAAAAAAAGCAGACACTATAAAAATAGACATCTAATAATCTAATAATCAATAATATTTGTATAATAATAAAAGGAGCGAAAGAGACGCAAAATTTTCGAAATTAATTCTCTTTTTATCTGATATCGAATTAAAAAAAAATTAGAATAGGAAGCGCGTCCTTTTTCTCAGCAATAAGGTCGATTTAAAATTCAAATTTCTCGCGGAAATTTAATTTTAAATGTCACGTTCTATTAAAACATAAAAAATTTAATATTATATCTCAAAAGTGCTAATCTGTGATTATGTGATTTCACGTAATGTACGCATTCGTTATGATTTTCAGTGAAAATGCATCAAATGTCAGAAATCTTGAAAATATCGTTTATTGCATTTTATTATGCAAATTTAATTTTATGCAATCGATTCTTCAAATAGCGTCCACAGCAGCAAAAATTCGCACGTTTTGATCATGTAATGTGGAAATCAAATTCAATGGGTATATTGTAAAGTCAGGGAAGCCTTTCTCGTGTAAACACGTTAAAATAGGAGGTCGAAGTAATAATCGGTGTATATCTAACTTTATCACGGCGTTTGTGAGGAAACTTTCCCGAGATTGGTATAACTTACTCGTGTATATTGATATAGACAATCACGTTTAGATCAATAAACGCAAGCTATATTAGTTACACAGACTGTATCTCGATATAA